TGGTGGCGATCTTCGGGGCGTCTTCGGGTGTCCAGCCCGCTTTCGAGAATGCCGCGATCATACAAGTCGCATGTTTTCCAATGATTTCTTCCTCTTGAGCTGGCCCCCGTGGCCTCCAACACGTTCCGAAAGGTGTCGGGCAGAGCCCCACGACGGGCCCTTGGGGTTCTCTCAGGGGATGCTGGAATGGTGGATTCCGAACCGCGTTATGCGAAGAACACCAGGAGCGCGCGGCCACGAGGGCCTAGGGATCTCGGCAGTGGAGCCCTGATAGAGTGTTTGGAATTACCAATGTCCAAGACAAAGGGGTCTGAGAACTCTCCACTCAGTGCCTACGGCATTTCTGTGCGTGTTGGGAGGTTTTGGAAATTCTTCGAGCCTGATTTCATCGTTTTTGATCCTTCTTGGGACCCTCTTAGGGCCTTCCAGTGGTTTCTCAGAGCGCCTGACGTTGGTCCAAGGCTGCTCTGAGCTCGGATGGTGCTGAGTGCACACTGGAAGCAGTATCGATCCAGGAAGGTTGGGAGGCAGAAGCAATTGAAGACTCGACTTATTGAGTGTTCTTGGCATGCGCAGGTCATCCGTGGGCAGCCTTGGCGGGCTCCCTGGGGAAGCTAAGAGAGGATCCAGCTCACGCGCCCGTTGGGTTTACTTGGTCGCAGACGTTCTCAATGTTCTGACCCCCCGCCCGTGTTGATGGAATCTGACCTTCGGGGGTACAGTGGAGGCCCATGCCAAAAACCACCCTGCTTGCCTCCAGGGTGCCCTGGGTTTCTTGGGGCTCGATGGTTTTGCGATGGAGAGCGCAGCGCTCCCGCACCAAAAGCCAATGGACGTCCTGGGGTCTCAGGGTTGGGTTTCTGGTGAGAGCCGGCTTCCCTGGGATTGCCAGGGATTGCCGGGATTTTAGGGAGGAGCAGGAGAAAGAGGAGGAGGAGGAGGAGGAGGAGGGAAGAGGAGGAGGAGGAGGAAGAGGAGGAGGAGGAGGTTTCTTGTGGACCAGCCTCCATTGGAGGGCTCACAGGCGTCGGAGGAGGGCGAGCTGAGACGACGACGGCCCCCCCGCCTGGCCCAGGCCTGCTCAAGCCGTTCCCGGCGATGAATAGGGTCCCGTTCTTCTCGGGGGCGGAAAAGAGGGGGGTGATGACTAGGGGGGGGTGGATATCATGGCGTGGGTCATGATATTTCCTCAGATTTCATGGCGCCTCTTCTCATTTCATTACGTCCCCGGCCCCCCCCCGCTGGGCCGCGCACATGCCGCCAGCCATGATTTGCACCCCCCCCTCTTGGACACCCCCCTCTTGGCCGCTCCCGATTCGAGGCGGATGCAGACGTGGCAACGAGGAGCTTCTGGAAGGCCCAAGAGGAACGGAATCTGCCCAGCAGGGCCGGCGTTTTCTCCACTGGCCCTCCGAGTTTTCACATGTGGCTGCCCAGGTAGGGAGCAGAAGCTGTGGGGCCTGTTTTCCACCGAGGAGGGGGAGGAGGAGGAGGAGGAGGAGGAGGAGGAGGAGGAGGAGGACCTCCCCATCCTCCCTTCTCCCCCGTCCTACCCCTGGTAGTGGTGGTGGTGGAAACTGGGCTTATCAGAAGCGGGCGCTGGAGAGGATCAGGGGTGCGGTCGGCAAGCCTGCAGCCCTCGGATCTTATACACGGCCGCGAGGGAAGCCTCGACGCCGTCGGCGCGGCCAGCCGCCCCCAATTGGCAGGAGGAGGAGGAGGAGGAGGAGGAGGAGGAGGAGGGGGAGGGGACGGAGGAGGAGAACGAGAAGGGGGAGGAGGAGGAGGAGGAGGAGGAGGAGGAGGAGGAGGAGGAGGATGATGATGATGTTGATGATGATGATGTTGATTACGATGATGATGATGATGATGATGATGATGATGATGATGATGATGATGATGATGATGATGATGATGATGATGATGATGAGACTGATGCTGATGATGATGATGATGATGATGATGATGTTGATGTTGATGCTGACGATGATGCTGCTGACGATGATGATGATGATGATGATGATGATGATGATGATGATGATGATGATGGTGATGACGATTATGATTATAACTATGATGGTGCGGATGATGATATTGCTGCTGAGGATGAGGATGAGGATGATGATGATATTGTTGATGCTGATGCTGACGAGGATGAAGATGATGATGATGATGGTGATGATGATGAGGATGATGATGATGCTGATGATGATGATGATGATGATGATGATGATGATGCTGATTATGATGATGCTGATGATGATGCTGAGGATGATGCTGATGAGGATGAGGATGAGGATGATGACGAGGAGTAGGAGGAGGAGGAGGAGGAGGAGGAGGAGGAGGAGGAGGGAGGAGGGACCAGTGTAAATCCAAGACTCACCAACGATGTTCACTTTTGGAAGAGCCCCGTTGGAAGACAATCATCCGAAAATCCCGATCCATGCCGGAACACAATTCCTAGGGCTGCAACGCGACGAATCAATGTTATTGTTGCGTCCTGACGGTCCTGAATTGTGCCAGACCGCCGTTTTTGGTACGTCTACGCCACGAGTCAAACGTGATTGCAGCGCCTGGACAGTCTTACATTGTGCCACACCGCTTGTTTCGTGGACGTCAACAATCAGTTTCCTTGAATCACTTTTAAACTTTGAAGACGAAAGTGCTCGTCGCTAAAGCGATGGCCACATTTTGAAAAGGGACCGCCTTCCATCCGTGAAGCTTTAGCGCAATTTTAAGACGGATGCGCCCGGCGCTAAGGCGAGAACCACATTCTGAAGTTGGGAAGGAATCGCCCTCCATTCGTGAAGATCCTCTAAACACTGAAGACGGATGTTCGCGGCGCTGAGGCGAGAGCAATTGTTTTGAACCGCCCTCAATCAGGGCAGCTCTGGAAGGCTTTAAGCCGGACGTGCGCGGCGCGAAGGCGAGAGCCACATTAGGACAAGGAATCGCCTTCATCCGTGAAGCTCTTGCGAACTACTTTTAAGACGGATGTGCGCGGCGCGATGGCGATACTTACATTCTGACGAGGAATCGCCTTCCGTCCGAGAAACTCCTGCAAACTTTGCCACGGATGTGCGCGGCGCTAAGGCGAGAGTTATCGAGTGAAAACGACCCGCCTTCCATCCGAGAAGTTGTTGCACATTCTCAGCCTCAGGATCATGAGTGCTGAAGGAGGTCTCGGGCGAAACGCTGGGCCCGCCCTGCAGAAACGTTTCCGGGTGCGACAGGGAGGACCTCTTCATAAGGATACAGGAATGGAGGAGAGGGGGCGAGGGCAGCGAAGGGAGGAGGCGGAGCAGGAGGGATGTCGTCGTCGGTCGTCGGTCGTCGGTCGTCGTCTTCGGTGGTCGCTGGCCACCGTCGTCGTCGCCGCCGGTCGACGACCGCCGACGGCCCGCGAGCGGAGAGGCGGGGAGGCTCCTCGCCACGTGCCTCCTGGCCAGCCTCGGTGCCGCGGAGCTGCTGCGCGGGACGCGGTCCGGAGGCGGCTCCCTGCCGCTGCGGGCGGCGGGCGCGCTGTCTCTTGGAGCCTGTTTTTTTTAGACTCTGGCAAGTTTACTTGCATGGATGGGGGGGGGGCTGAGCCTGAAGCAAGCCCGGGGGGCGGGGTCAAGTCCTGATGTTGCCCTTGGCCGAAGTCCGGCTTCGTCCGGCTCGATCCCGCTTGATTCGGAGGTTGATGGACCTCCTGCCCTGACATGTCGATTGGGGAATTGGCCGTTCTCGGTTCGCGAGAGGGCGTCGCGGCCGTATTTTTTGCGGGTCCAGGTCCGTCGGTTTCGGTCCCAGACCGTTTTCACGAAGGGGAGGTTTACGAAAGGGAGGTTTGTCCACCGCCGATTAATCCCGCTTGCTCCCGCTTAATCCCGCCTCAATCCGAAGCCCACTCTGACGCAACCGCCCCGCAGTGGAGCTTAGCACTCCTGCTTCACCTTGCCGACGAAGGCCCCCCGGCGGTTGCCTCCTATCTCTTGCTCGGCCCCGCGGGGGCCATCGGAGATGAGAGGGCGAACATGCCCCCCCACCCCTCCTCCTCCTACTCCTCCTCCTCCTCATCCTCCTCTTCCTCCTCCTCCTCCTCCTCCTCCTCCTCCTCCTCCTCCTCCTCCTCCTCCTCCTCCTCCCCGAGCCCGCGATCCGGGGGGTCGGGGCTGGGGGATGGGGGTGGCCTTTCGGGGCCCCAGGTATGGAGAAGACCCACCCCCACCCCCAGTCCCGACCCTTTGAGTCGCAGGCTCGGGGATGGGCGTCGGGACTGGGGGTTGGGGTGGGGTTTCGCCTTCTGACGAGAGGGGCCCGGGATGGAAGAGGACCCCCCGGGGAGGCGGTCGGAACCCTTTGGGCCGCGGACGGAAGGAATCACAGATCGGCGGGCATCCTGGGCTGCCGTCGCCGCCCTCCGCCGCCCCAGGTGGTTGCCTCCGCCTGCGCTCTCGGCCTCTCGTCGACCAGCCGCATCCTCCTTCGGGGAAGCAGCAAGTCATGGAAGTCATGGCCTACACGAGCTTTCGGAGGTCCGCGCGGCTTCCTCGGATCGGCGCTGGATCCCCCTGGCGGCGCCTCCGGCGCCGCCCCGGGCGCGGTCCGCGCGCCAGAGGGGGGTCCAGCGCCGATCCAAGAAGTCATTGCGGACCTACAGATTACGTTTGTTTCTGTCACATTTGGTGTTCCTCGACTTCTGTTGTGGAGGACGAGTAATGGAGAGGAAGCGTGCTGCCAAATAACTTCCAGATGTATAACGCATGTTTCAAACATGGTTTGAATCTGAAAAAAAACATGTTTGAAGCACTGTGTATAGCATGTTTTACACCATTTAAGCACATCTTGAGTTCAATGATAGGCTTGTTAGAGTGTCAATTGTCGTGGCATCCAGAAGACTCCTGGAGCATCGAGGATATTCCGGGTTGTTTGGGTGCTTTCGAGCTTTTCGTTTTGCTCCCCCTCGGGCCTCCGAGGCCTGTGAATGTGCCCGCCGGCTTTCTGCGCGCGCGCAGGCCGCCGCCTCAAGGTGGCCTACGCGATCTTCGTCACAGACCTGCAGAGCCGCGACTGGCCACCCGACCCCCCAGGGCCATGGGAGGATCAGGGGCAATGTGTAAGTCGGGCGTGTCCCCCTACAGGAGGAACATTCCGAAATAGTCCAAAAATAGTCGGGGGACGATGTTTGACTATTCTTGACAAATGGTGAGTATTTTTGCAGTATCTTTTTGGTTGCATCCCAAACCCGCCTACAGGGGGACATGCCCGACCTCAGGCAGCGTCAGGGGTGGCAGAGGGCGAGGTTCAGGCGATCGCAGACATGGATCAAGGGTGCGTGGATTAGCGACGGGTCCCGCTTCCATGGGACATCGCGGACTTCTGCCGCCGAGCGAGGCGGCACCGGCCGCACTGGGGAGGGCACCTCCCCCGACCCGTGGGTTTGGCGACCGTGCGCCACGAATCCATGGATCGCCAAGCCGTGCTCGCGCGCGCGCCCGACGGGATCCGTCCGCGGCCCACCCGATCCGCCCCTGCATGCAGCCAACCTGCACAGCAAGGATGGGCAACTTTCCCAAGATCGGGCCGAGCAAAAGGGGGGGATAGCAAAGGTCAAGCAGTGGCGAAGCGTCCTGGCTCGCCTGTAGCCATACCAAACAATGTTCTAAGAACCTTTTCTGGTTTCCACGAAATGTTATTGGAACATTTCTGGCGGGAGTCTGTCTTGTTCGAACACATCGGGTTTATGTTCTAAGAAAATTGCTTTCGTTCTTAGAACATTTTTGGGTTCTAAGAGCATTTCGTGGTAGGACTATAGGAATGCCGGGAGGATCGGCTCCTGCTCAAAAGGGAGGGTTTGAGAATCAGCTCACGCAGCTGATTTTCCTGGCGCCTCCCGGCGCCAGAGGCGGCCACGTATCGAGGAATGGGCCCGGCGGCGGGGCCGATACCAGCTGCATGCAGCAGAGTTCGTAACCCCCCTTTCCCTATCCCCCCCTTTTCGTTCGGCCCGACAATAGTGACCTTGCATCCTTGCCTCCTCGGTCCATCCTTGGCCACTGTCGTTGGCCGCGCCCCGCTCGAAAATATTCGAACTGGGCGTCCAAGGCCCTCGCATCCTCATAGCGCATCCTTGCTATACTGGTTGACTGCGATCTGTCGCGTCCTCACCGGGGGTACTGTCGGCGACTGCTCATCGCCACCTCGCTCCTCCCCCATCGACCCTGACGATGCCTCTTCCCATCCCTTCGCCTCGCAGCCTCCAGCATTCACAGCATAAGTGCCAGATTTTCAGCCTCGAGGGCCAGATCTTCAGGCAGAGCGGTCCACACTGAGGGTTCCGGCCCCTCTGCGCAGGCCCGGAAGGACCCCGCATTTTGGTATCGCTCGGACGTGTGGCTTTTTTCTCGGTGGGGCTTATCCAGGAGCGTCCTGGATCATCCTGCGAAAACACCACGCACGAAACCGAAAACATCCAGGGAATGGACGTCCGAGCGACGGGGAGGCATCCGGCGGCACCGCGCGCTCGCCTCGCCGAGCCTCCGTGCCTGCGCCTCCCCCGAGCGAGGCCTGGAGGCTCGAGGTTCCCGAGGGGGTTGCGCGCCGATCCTCGGCGGCCCTCTCCAGCCTCGGCGTGCCCTCTCCGGCAGCTCTGCGCTCGGCGCGCGCGAGCGCTCTGTCGCAGGCCCAGAGGTTGACACCAACGCCAATATCGGCGGTGTGCCTCCATTCGGGGGCGGAAAAGAAGGGGTGATGACTAGGGGGGGGTGGATATCATGGCTCGGGCCATGATATCTCCCCAGATTTCATGGCGCCTCTTCTTATTTCATTACGTCCCTGGCCCCTCCGCTCGGCCGCGCACATGCCGCCGGTCATAATTTGCACACACCCCTCTTGGACACCCCCCTCTTGGCCGCTCCCGATCCACCGAGGGAAGAAGATCCCGATCTCGGTGATGGTGGTAATATCCTGGCTTCCAAGGTGGCCGAACTATGGCCACAAACACCGAAATCTAGGATCATCTTCCCGGTTCCCCCTGTGGAGGCAGCCCCCTGTGTTGGTGTTGGTTCTGGGGTGGTGCCCCGGCTTGTCCCGAGCTGCTCCAGGAGAGCCGAGCTGACCCGAAAACGGGACGACCGCGATCGCTGGCATGGTGTTCGGTCGGGCATGTCCCCCTGCAGGTGGATGTTGCACGGAAGAAGCAAAAATATTAAGACAATATTGCCAAATGGTCAATAATAATAAAAAATCGTCCCCCGACTATTTGTTGTCTATTTTGGAGTATTCCTCCTGTAGAGGGGCACGCCCGACTGAACGCTGGCATGGTGATCGTTTTTTATTCGTCGTTTGCCGATCGGCGCGGGCCCTCGCACCCACCCCCTCAGATCTTGGCTGTTTTGGGAGCGCCTGTTTCGGGCGGGTGGGGTCTCCCCCATACATCGGCGCTCAGAAAGTTTATTCCGATTTGAGAGGCACGGCGCCGCGCGAATGCAGCGCAAACGCAATGCTGGAAGGGCGCGACAATGCATGCTCCCTGGACGCGCGAGAGCAGCCGCGCCCCCGCGCGAACCCCGATCCCGCGCGGGGCGCGCTCCCGTTGACAATGGCTCACCCGGGACACAGTCTCTTGCGCAGAAAATCCTGAGCGGTCTGCCCATCGGCGGCTCCTTAGGACGAGGCCCGGAACCACGGAAACATGTGTTGTTTGCAAGTTTTAGGCGGTTTGCCCATGCTCGTTTTTTTCGGAGCGGGCCCGAAAACCTCGAGAACGATGTTTTTTTTTTTTGTTTGCTTGTTTTTTTTTGCAAGGAGTCCTAGGCGGTTTGCGCATTTTCGGGTTTCGGGTCGTTCGAACCGGACCCGGATTTTTTTTGGCCCAGATCCCATGGGAATTGGCCACTTTCAGGTCGGCCGATCAGCTTTTCGGGTTGGCGCATGACCGAACCCGAAAGCTTCTTTCGAGGACGTCCTATGCCGTTGGCTCATTTTCGGGTCAGTACACCGTTTGGGATTTTAGGTTTTAAGTTGGGAAGGGGAACCCGATCCCGCGACCTTGGGCGGGGGTTAGGCTCTGCCCTTGCATTGTACTGGGCCCCTCCGGCCAAACAGGCCGATGGGCTGCCCATCGGCGCGCCGACTCTGCCCTCGCGACATCGCCACCATCCGCCCTCGGGCCCTGCGAGTCTTGTCCCGCGCGCGCCACCCCAGATGGCCGCGGCCGGCACGGTGGCGAAATTGGGGAAAGTTTCGGATCGGCGCAGTAGGACGCACTGTTGCAAACAATCGCACTAAGCAGAGGTCCGGAGCCAGACCCCCCCTTCCCCCCACTTTCCTCCCAATGTCGAAACGCCGAATAAAGAAACGCTCGCATGATGGTCTCAGGGGGGAACCCATCGACCCACACGCGCCAAATGATTGCTGATAGGGGGCCTGAAAGCCGACCCCGCCCAGATTCGTGCGGACTCGCTATCGGGTGCCTATGGCTGATCTGTCGGCGACGTCTCCCCTTCGAACCGGGTCCACCCCTGTCGTTGCCCCCACGCAGCCAAAAGAGGAGGGGAGTGACCCAGATCTCCGATGTCGCGAGTTGTTTCAATCCCGATTTTTTTCACAGTCTAGGCTTCTGGTGGCTGCCTTCGGCTGTCCAGAACTGTGGAAACTGGCCCAGAATGCCAAGAATAGGTCGAAGCCTCCTCTTGCCGTGCAGATTGAATCATTTCATCGTCGGATGCCTTGGGGCTGCACGGGTGGGATCTCTGAAGGTGCAGGGTAATCATTGAAGGAGGACCAGGATGGGACGGATGAGGAACAGGTAGGAAGAGGAAGGGGACGTAGACGAGGGAGGGAAAAAGAGAGGAAGAGGGGGAAAGGGAAAAGAGGAGGAGGAGGAGGAGGAGGAGGAGGAGGAGGAGGAGGAGGAGGAGGAGGAGGAGGAGGAGGAGGAGGAGGAGGAGTGGGCGAAGTGCGGGGGGGGGGAACACATGCCGCTCACATGGTGCCGGAGTAACTAGGTGGGGTCGGAGGATCGCGCCGGACCTCCGATACGTCGGCGTTGCGGTGCGAATGGGGCCCGAAGTTCTCCCTCTTGGCTTCGGCGATGCGGTGCGACTGTCCAATCCCATATGCTCCATGGTGGCATCCAGGGAGGAGGAGAGTGAAGAGGTGGAGAAGGAAACATGTGAGTTTGCGGCGATGGGACGGCGAGGATGGGGTGAGGAGGAGCAGGAACAGGGGGAGGAACAGGAGGAGGAACAGGAGGAGGAACAGGAGAAGGAACAGGAGGAGGAACAGGAGGAGGAACAGGACGAGGAACAGGAGGAGGAACAAGAGGAGGAACAGGAGGAGGAACAGGAGGAAGAACAGGAGGAGGAACAGGGGGAGGAACAGGAGGAGGAGGA